TCCTCACTCCCTTGTCAACCCAGTCAGGTTTCCAGGACCAAGCCATAAAGGATGTGACACACACACACACACACACACACACACACACACACACACACACACACACACATCGGTTTCTAATGACAAATCCCTACACAAAAGCTAACCAGCTTTGCTGGTGGGTTGGCTACAGAATTGGGCCCACTCTTCCAACAGCAAAAATGATTTTGAACGAAATGATTTTTCTGGTTATCTTATTGACTAACATTGCAGTACAGCAAGACTTCTGAGCTAAGATACAAATTGCAATGACATGGCATATTTGTGTGCATGTGTATGTGTTTCCTCTTCCTCATAAATTTTCATAGATGCCTTTGTTAATTCACCATCTGGCACAAGCAGTTCACTAGTGGGAAGCTGTTGTCCAGAACCCTCAAATCCCATCATATAGGCGATCACTGCACATGGACAGGGTTATAAAATCTCTCCGAGCAATTGTTTTCTGCTCTATTACCATAAATTCTCAGCCCTCTCAGTGGAGAGTTGAATCAGGCTTAAATATTTTTTTAAACCCATTTCAGTTTGCACTTTCTGGTTTTGTTCCCAAGAATAATAAATTTGAGCAATGCACTGCAAGCCATTTTCTTACTAGCCCGCCAGTATTTGTCCTCTGCTGGATAAACCCAAAGCCTGGGGTTCTGTGCCCAGCATGTGGCTCAGATCGTTCTATAAGCCTATGACTTTGTATTTTTATGTTTTCTTCCTCTAATGAGAGGGACCCCAGTGCAGTAAGGGTTTGGCCAGCTTAATTGCTTCACCCTGACTTCCGGTCCATTTCTGTTATCTAAGGAAATACAGGTATAGCAGGTAAATAACATCTCAGACCTTCTGTACCCCATTTCAAAGCTATGGAGCTTCTTGGGGGAGAGTATGAACAATGAAGTTCAGAGCCAGAGGCCCTATGTGAAGTGATCATTAGTGTTTCAAGTCTCTTATTTCTCTCAAACTACAGAAAGGGAAATTCCGGAAACTACGTTATGTTCAGGATGGATACTTGGTATTTATCAAGACTTATCTGTACTTTAGTTTTTGGCACTGACTGATTTATTGTTTTTGGAATCACTGCTGTCTTTAACTTTGAAGTATTTTCTTTGATACCTGGAAGACTGGGGGGTCTCAGTGAGGTGCCCCAGTCAATGATGTCTGGGTTGGAAGGCAAACTGTACAGTACAGCGTAGAACAGGCAGCCAGCTACTTTGGAAAGTTGAAGAGGGTACCCGAGCAATGTGTTTTCTGTTCTAGAGAAGTCCAGTGAACCTGGAATGTTCCCTGGGAATCTGTGTATGTGTTTGTGTATGTATGCACGGTGGTGGTGGGTTAACCAATGAGCCATAACAATGAGATTAAATGAGGCTCTGGCCTGAACTGTTAGATCCTTTGCTTTCAAATATTCACCTTTTTTTCCTTTGGCAGGGTACCTGGGAAGCTCAGGTGTCCTTGGAAGCTGGTTGTACTCTCCCTCTGTGGTTGTTTGTGGTCAGTGTCCAAACAGCCAGGTATAGATTCTGCTTTTGTGGATTGGGCGGTTGAACTTGAACCTGATTGTGGGTCATGGCCCTGACTGCTTGGCTGGTCCCCACCACTTCTGGGGCTCTGATTGCGCCTCCCCACATCATCCTGTGGTCTTCCCTGTCTGTAGAGTTGGAGGCGCTCTTCATTTCCAGAATGGCCTCACTCTCATTTCTTACAGCGCCCCCTAGTGACGCCCCATTTCCGTTTGGTTGTCTTCTCTACCTGTACGTGAGTGTGTGAACTGCCTAGGCGTGTTAGACTTAGTGAACAAAAAGAAAACAGAATACACAGTTAAATTTGAGTTTTAGATCCACCTTGCAGAATGTTTCCCCATACATATGTCTCCACTGTTGCACGGAGCATATTTAACCCAACACAATTTTTGTTGTTATCTACAATTCAGTTTAACTAGGCGCCATGCACAGTGCTGGCAACTTTGTGAGTTTTGAGTCCAAATTAGTGCCTTTCCACATCCTGGCCTCTTATCATCCTTAGCATGTAACTTGGATAACAGATTATGAATAGAGAACAGAGAACTTGTAAAATTGCTTAGCTTCTTCAGCAGGAACCACCCACTAGGCAACACAGAGGTGGATCAGGGCAAAGTTAATACATATGAAAGGCACATTCTCTTACCGATTTGTGCCTAAACACTAGCCCTCTAGTACACTAACCTGGATTTCTGGATGTGTGGACCATTTGGCCTACAAACAGGTTTCTACTCATTTTATTGTCATGCAATTGGGTAGACTATAATCATGCAGACATCTGAATTTTTAAAAATCCAAGTATTTATATGTATTAGCTGGGCTGTGCCAGGTCATTTTTTGGAAAATTCAGTATGGACACTCATTTCCAACTTGCCCCTTCTGACATAAAATATAAGGACAGTATTTTTCCATGGCAGTGTTGTCGATTCTGGGGTAAATGGTTTGATGATTCCTCAGAAATTAAATGTAAAGCCACCATATAATAGCAGGACACTCCGGGGTAGATGGCCAAAGGAATAGAAAGTCAGGGTTCAAGCAGACATGTTCACAACAGTAGTGTTCATGACAGCCAAACATGAACCCACTCAATTGCCCATCAACGGGTCAGTTTTAACTCCAAGATTCATCAGCAGGTGAATGACAAACAAAATGTGGTATGGACATATGCCTGAATGTTATTCAGTTGTAAAGAGGAAGGGACTATGACACTTGGCACAACACACATGAATCTTGAAACTGTTTGTACAATCACAAAAAAAGCAAATATTGTGTGAGTCTACTTCTATGAGGAACCCAAACTATATTCACAGAACTAGAAAGGAGAATTGAGGTTGCCACAGGCATGGGGTACAGGTCAAGGTGGTCAGTGTTTAATGATGAGAAAAAGTTCTAGAGTTTTGTTGCATAATACTGTGAAAATTTTAACACCATGGGATGGTGTGCTTAACCTTGGTTAAGATGGTAAGTTTTACCATAATTTAAGAGCAAACAAAAGAAAATCTACCTTCTTGATTATTCTCTATATCTATACAAACACAGTATCATTTTATCAACTATAGTTGATTGGCCAGGCCAGTCCCTCAGGCCACTCCGGTTAGAGAGTCGTCTACCAGGGAGCTTTGCATTCCCTCCCAGGGGACTCTCACCTGGCTCTGGCCTTTGTGATTGGATTTAACATGCCTCAGTTTGCAGTTTAACTGCAAACATATTGCTTTCATGATTTGGTTACAAATAGGAGGGAGTTTGTCCTTTATTTATACATAATTTTGGAAAATTAGACTAATACAGGAGATATGTGGTCAGACTGCCTGACAGAAGTGGGAAGGGCAGATGTTTTAGGATAATCTTAAGAAAAGCTCTGCAGTACCATCTGGTTCCTGAGCTTTGTACATTCCCCGATTTTACTTATGTACATTGTCCCAGAAATACAAAGCCCCAAGAATTTTGCCTTCTAAATGGAGGAAATAAAATAAAGAAAAACCAGACTGCCACAGCTAGATTACCACTGCTGCTGTAGGCTTGATCTGGCACATCTATCAAATGCCCGTGCATCCAAAGCTGCTTCCTCAGGTGGTGTGGTTGGGAGGTGGTGGGAATTGTCGGAGGGAGGACCCAAGGTGTGATTGGGAGGTGGTGGGAATTGTAAGAGGGAGGACCCAAGGTGTGATTGGGAGGTGGTGGGAATTCTAAGAGGGAGGACCCAAGGTGTGATTGGGAGGTGGTGGTAATTGTAAGAGGGAGGACCCAAGGTGTGATTGGGAGGTGGTGGGAATTGTAAGAGGGAGGACCCAAAGGGAGGTTTGAGGTTATGGGAGTATGCCCTCTAAGGGGGTAAAAGGATCTTGACATCTTCTCCTCTGTCCTTCTGTCTAGGCACTGAGGTGAGTGACTTCCTCCACCATCCACTCCATCAGATGATATGGCCTAACCACAAGCCAGAAGGAAAACCCTGAAAGTGTGAGCCAGAACAAGTCTTTCCTTTTTATACCTGGATTATCCCAGGTATTTGTAACAGTAACAGAAAGCTAATTCTTGTACCTACCATTCGAGGCAATGATGCTAAAATATTTAAAAGCAATGAATGAATATTTTATTCTAATCTTATAGACCAATGTGCAACTTCCTTCACCATTCTCTTTGGCATGATGCTAAAGCCTCTCCTTTAGTGAGTTATTCTTAGCTGATTCTCATCCAACGTGCTTCTCTTAGAGATCATTTTAATTCTTGGGGGGGGGCACTCAACTCAGTTTTGACAGTTTTTATAAATGAAGAGTGGGTGATCTCTTGGCTCTATCATCATGCCAAGAAGTGGCTCTGCTTTTGCAAAACCTTACTGCCATGAAAACAGGCCAGGAGTCTCCAAACAGCTGGGAACTTTTGAAGTTTTGTGTAAAATATTTTGGGGAGAAATGTTCAATATAGCATCTCTCATTTTGGGTGCTGAGGGTCTGTAGACTCAGCCACAATAAAATAGAACCCTACCATTTCCACAACTCACTCATTCACTGGGGAAATAAGAGCACACAATTAAAATGCTCTGTAGCATTTTAAATTTGATCTCAGCAAAGGAGTAATCAGGTGTACCCTGAAGGAAACCACCATGAAGGCTTTATTTACCCAGTAATCTTTCTTTGGTTTGAATAATCTAGGGAATTGTTTAAACTTTCACACGAGAAGAGCTAGGCCACCAGTCCTTAAGTGCCAGACTTGTTTACGGTGGCTTTCTGTGTCATTTCATATTCCTAGTAATGGCCCATCAAGACCCACTCAGGTGCTCCCTCATATGACTGCAAGCTGGCCCTGCCTGGACACAGGAAGTACTTCATGTGGACTCAAGAAGTACTTCATATGGACACAGGAAGTGCCTCACCATTTGAGACTCTATTTATCTCCAGCTTTCCTACTTAAAAATTCTACTAAACAATACCTATTACCCTTCCCATATTCTCTTTATACCAGCTTCCACGGAATGTTCTCCAAAATCTGCAAAATGACAGCAAAACTCGCTCAGCAAGAACAGGGCAGAAGGCAGACTTCAGGCAGTGGGGCGAAGTTACACCACTGAATGGCCGATTAACAAAGGTGAGCGGCGAGGTGGGGAGAGGGGGAAGCCAACTGACAAGCCACATTGTCTGAAAGAAAGAAACAGCCCACTGTAATCCAGCGGCAGGAAATAATGTCCGCAGAGAAATGTTTTCCATCTTGTTCCCGCAGTAATAAAATCTCATCACATGAGTTGTAATCAGCCTGTAACTTCATCCATGTGATCCCCCAGCCTTTGTTCTCTTTCCTTCACTCTGCCTGGTTTTGCCTGGGAAGACTTTACAGTTCCATTGGGAGATGGGGTCAGAAAAAGATCTGCTTGGTACGATTTAAGCCTTTAGCGAGAGTATTTATCCCCCTTCCCTTGCCTACAACCACAGCCAACTGCCATCCCTCCCTTTGAAGGAAACCCTGCCTGTACCTGCTCTTTCATCTCCTGTGTGGAAAATGTCTATCAGCTGGAAACCGTACGACTCTTAATTTTGAAGGATTTTCGTTGTAAGCTGTTGGAGGCCTGAGCTAAAGTTTCAGGCAGAGGTAACTTCAGTAGCTCCTCTGGTTTCTACCCCCACCCAGCCTGCAGGCCTGGCTTTCTGAACGGATAAGCTCTTTAGTATGCTTGCTGGTATCCATAGAGGTTCATGGAAACTGACATTTGAAAAGAGAGGTAGGAGAAAAGAATGAGGAGGAAAAGAAGAAAGGAAGGGCAAAAGGAAAGAGAAGTTGAATCCAATAGCTTACAGAGAGATTAGAAAAGTTCACTCCAGATGGAAAATTTTATGGGAGCTGGAGAAAAATGTATAAGTGAAATATCAGTATCATAAAATAACAGGAAATAGTGTAATCTACCTGATGGAGAAAATTGTCACTTTAAAAAATGTATTCTAATTTCCCTCAAAATTGGTCTTGTTTTTGAGCCAATCAACTGCAGCTGAGCTGACCACGGACAGGCTTTCCTCCTGCCAGAATCTCATTTGCCAACAGAACCTCTGTGTGTGTTTACAATGGAAACGTTTCCATTCTCTTTTTCTTCTAATTAAAACAAAACCCACCCAGGGGCAGACAGAAATCATGCAATAAGGAAGGAAAATTGCTAATAATCTGGGTGAATTATGATTCAAAAGTTTGAGGAAAATCTGAGTGAGGGTGGGAGCAGTGAACGCAGAGCGAATTTGGGGTCCCCCTGGAGAGGTGCACGGGGAAGTGCTGTGCCTTCTTCTAGTAGGCAATAACAATAATATAATTTAGGTGAAGTATGTGCACGGCAGGGGCGAATTCGGCAGACGACTGCCCAAGGCACTCCCTCTGGGGAAATACGATATCGATGCCTTTCTTCTTCATTTCTTTTTTCCTCCCTTCAACTCCCTAGGTTGGATTTCATGACTTAGTTTCCTGAACAGATGAAGAAAAGCATTCTCAGTTGCTCAGGTAAGGTATTAGCAGTAGTATTCATTTCCTTTATGTGTACAAATGATTTTGACTGGGATAATTGTGGCATTCCCAACAGTAAGGGTTAGGATTGGGTTCACAGCCCATCTCTCTCTCTCTCTCTCTCTCTCTCTCTCTCTCTCTCTCTCTCTCTCTCACACACACACACACCCTGTCATAAAGTTTGTTCAGACACTATTTGAGGATCAGTCAATGGGAAGATGAATTAGAACTCAAAGGTGTAAACAGAAGTAAGGGTGGGAGAGGGTATGGGGCTGGAGACATAGGTTAGAGGTTAGAGCACTTGCTGCTCTTGCAGGGGACCCAGTTTCAGTTCCCAGCACCTACATAGTAATTCACAAGCATCCATAACTCTAGTTCTAAGGGATCCAGTGTTTTCTTCTGACATTTGTGTGCTCCAGGCATGTACTGTGGTGAATATACATACAGGCAAAACACACATATACATAAAAATAAATAAAAATTAAAATGAAAGAATGATGAAAAGTCAAAAGTGTAATACACTGTGAGAATCCATCAGGTAAGACATCAGGGTGATGAAGGGATAGGATGGGATCCAGTGGCGTCACATTGGAAGGGTGATATTTCTCTGGCACTATTGACAGGCAGGAATGAGACATCATTCTACAAGTTTGCATACTTTTTATCTTTTTAAAATGTCCTTTAAAACTTATATGGATGCGTATGATTGTGTGAATGTGTGAGTTCAGTTACCTTTACAGTCTAGAAGAAGGTGTCAGATCTGGAGGTAATGGGAGATTGTGAGCCATCTAACATGGGTGCTTGAAACGTGACTTCTCAAAGAACAAGACTTAGTCCCAACTGCTGAGCCATCTCTTCATCCCCGTATACATTTTACATAGAGCTCTGTACATTCATCAGCTCATTCACCGATTTAACAAATATTAATTCTGCTGGGGGAATGATATGGAGAGAGACCAGGGGAACAATCTGTACACATCTCCCATGGAGTGCTCATGTTGCCAATATATCAATGATATATTTGAACACTCTGCCGTCTTTGAACACTTGTTGGAATCAGCTGCAAACTGAGCAACCCATCAGAAAGTTTTAGATGAGATGTCAGGACAAACTCCACTGAAGGAAGTTCAAATATGTCTATAAAACTTCAAACAAAGATGGTGGAACAGGAAACAACCTGAGAAGTTGTACGGATTGTGCAGAATCTGGCGGAAATTGGAGAAGGAGAAAGGAGACGACAGTGGTGAAGAGAGGTCCTGCTTCTACCAGAACTACAGCATGAGAACGAGAGAAGGAAAGAGGTGGTTTCTATGCCTCAAGGGCACACACGGGCTTGCTCCAGGAAGCAAGGCATGTATTTGGAAGGTAGGTGCTCTGGCTAGTCACAGAGGGTTCAGGAGAGAAGTGGTGTCTGGGACCAATGCAAGCGAACACCAAGTTCCTTGGCTTACATAGTTCTTCAGTCTTTTGTGGAAGGTAAACTCTGGAAGGGAGGGCAGAGATCTGTATGCAGCTTAGTGAAAGCTGCAGACCCTGGACAAGCTGTGGACACAGCATGGTTAAGGGATCGGTCCAGTGAAAGATACAGACCCTGGACAAGCCGTGGACGCAGCATGGATAAGGGGTCGGTCCAGTGAAATCTGCAGACCCTGGACAAGCCACAGACACAGCATAGATAAGGGGTCGGTCCAGTGAAATCTGCAGACTCTGGACAAGCCACGGACACAGCATGAATAAGGAGTCCAGTGAAATTTGCAGACCCTGGACAAGCCACGGACACAGCATGAATAAGGGGTTCAGTGAAAGATGCAGACCCTAGAAAAGCCATGGACACAGCCCAGATAAGCGATTCCCACCATTAGAGTGGGCCAAAACATGTGCTCAGTGTCTATAACTACAAAAAAACAAATCGTCAATAAGTTAAGTCATTTTGGTTTAAAGATATGGAAGAAGCAAACATTTATTTCCTTTGGAGTATGTGTATGCATGTGTGTGCGTGTGTGTGCGCGTGCGTGCGTGCGTGCGTGCGTGCATGCGTGCGTGTGTGTGCATGTATGTTCATTTGTGTACAAGTGCACTCACCCATATGGAACATGTATTGAGGCCAGAGGTTGACATCAGGATGTTTTTCCTCAACCATTTCTCCAGCTTATTTTTATTGAAACATGGTCTCACTGAACACGAAGATCTTCATTTTGGTTAGGCAGACTGGACTGGCCAGTGAGTCCTTTGGATCCTTGAATTTCCACAACTCTCTAGTGTTGGGGTAATGGGCATATGCCATAGCAACTGGATTTTTAGGGGGTTCTAGGGGTCTGAACCCAGGCTCTAAGGCTTATGCAACAAGCATTTTATTCATTGAGTCTTTTCCTTGACCCTCAAGAAAAATTCCAGAGAGGAATTAATCGAGTTTCTATTCTTTAGGCTTTGATGCTGATAGAAGAATAACTGGATATTCACAGTTCTATTTGTTATACCCTGGATTGTTTATGAAGAAAGATCAAAGACAAGTAATAGTATGTGCACAGTTGGTTTTATAGGCTTAATAAGTTTATGATTTTGCAGTGAGGGGAGAGGCCATCCAGAGACAAGGAAAAGGCAGAATTCATGTGATGGGTTACTTCTCTATTGCTGCTTCATGTCAGGTTGCAGAGACACACTACAGGTGACTGGGGAAAGTGTGCTCACAAGCCTTGTGTGGTGGTGAGTGCTTGTAATGCCAACACATGAGGGACAGAGGAAAGAGGGTCTCAAGTTTAAGGGTAGTCTGAATTACACAATGCAACCTTGCCTCAAAAATAAAAGCTGTTGTTCATTCATTTTATGGAGAATAACTTTCTGAGAGGTATGCAAGGAAACCCCAGAGCAGTCAGAGACAGCAGTGGGAAGCTGGTCCTCAGTTCTCTCTCACCTGTTTCCTGTTGTTTTAGATTTGATGCTGGGGAAGTTAATTTCCTGGAGGGTTAAATGGGAGGGAACATCTTCCTCCTTGTGGCTGTTCAGGAAATCAGATCCCCTGCTCCCCAGAGTGGTAGTCCAGCTGAGGTTTGAAGGGAACAGGTAACTTGGCTTGTGTGGGATGAGGAGAGAATGAAGGAGGCAGTGGGGGTCTCTCTGTAGAACACAAGGTTTCTACCCGTCCCACCAGCCAGGGATGCCAACAAAGCCCTCCTCCATGAATCTGCCTCCCTGGTTAGCGTGTGATGCTCATACTGTACTTCATTCCAGTCCTCCTTAGAGTGTTCATTCCCTCATTCCATCCTTGCAGGCTTTGTGTGATGCAGGAACAAGTTCATGTATCCTCCCCATATCTCCATCTCTAGCATTCAACGGAGGTCTTGTCATATACCACCCATTCAAAATACCAGAATGGGAAGAAGAAAAAGAGATAAAATAAAAAACTAAAGGAAGAAGTGAGAAGCCAGATGTGGTGGTATATATCCACAATGCCAGCACTTTGGAGGCAGAGGCAGGAAGATATCAAGTTTCTGAGGCCAGTCCTGGCTATAGAGTGAGTGAGACATTGTCTTAAGCAAAGAAAGACATCTCAAAAGAAAGAAGTAGGGCCCTAGTTTGGGCAGCTAGGGAACTCATCATCTGACTAACCTTTCATTCCACTGGAAAACATGGGCTAACAGATGTGACCTTCTAAACCAGGGGGAGTGGGCAGGAAGTATCGAGGAAAGACGCCAATGTATTCAGAAAATTCTCCGTGATTCCCATTCATCTGCCCCTTTTCTTTACATGGATAAAAACCACTGTGACACACCAACCCACCCAGCATTGGGACTGGCATTCATGTTAAAGGCAATAGGGCGTTCAAAGACATGAAAACTAGGAGAGTTACAGTGTTTTAGGAAAACCAGTAGACAAAATTTGGGGAGTATATAATATTGGGGCTTGTGTGGCTCACTGTCATTATTTTGTGACATGTTGAGCAGATGCTTAGCTACGTTGATTGTGATGGACTGTCCAAACAAGGCAGAAAAATTCTGGATGGCATCCATGTTGCCCATCACAAGGGACTTCCTTACAGTAGCCAGTTGTGAATTCATTATAAACCCAGTGGAGAAGGCAGAGTCACTCTTCCTTCACCTAATTTTAGAAAGATTTTCTATAAGAAATGATTAAATTCCTAAACTAGAAATGGGAGTAAGAAAACCAGACATGGCTTTCCAAAAATGTGTACTAACTGATGCCGAAGACCTCTTCTTACATCAGAGCTGAGCACTGGGCTTCCCTTCCTGATCTGGTGAGTGCTCTCAGCTTTCTTAGGGTTAAACAGCCCAGAACAATGTTGCTACAAAACAGAGGGGAAAACACCAGACCCAGTTTAACTCAATTTCTCTGGATCAGGGTGGGTCACGTCATCCTGAAATAGCATGCGAACAGCCAGGATTTTCTCAAACTCCTTCTACTGTATTAAATTACCAAAGTAAATTGTGGCTATATTTTATCTGCAGTATCAGCAAGATCATATAACACAGTGGTGGAGGCTGGTATCACTTAAAATAGTGAGCTTGAAAAAATGAAAAAAAGAAAACCATGGTGGACTGTGGCAAAGATTGAGCACTAATGTGTGCCCTACTAATGTGTACCTCGAGCCTATGAACTCTGTAGTTTAGGACAGCAAATCAAAGCTTTTGACCGGGCTAATTGGCCCAGAATCCCTGTGTTCTGCCTAGCTTTATAAACCAAACTCAAGCCTCATTTAGACAGCTAACTATACCAAAGTTTGTTGCCCTGAGCAATAGTTGCCCTTGGTCTGTGTTGTTGAAAGATGCATTCAATATAACTCCATTCCTAATCTAAAAGAGAATGAACAAACTTGATGCCTGATTGGGTGTATCAAAAGAGGAAATGCAGCTAAATGATAGGTGAAAATATATTGTCATTTTGATCTCATCTTCTATAAATTTTCTATAACTGGAAATTAGAACTTGCTCTTGGGAGGAATTTTACTTAGTGAACACTTACAGATTGGTTTAATGTAAAAT